TAAAGATCAGTGGCAGTATTGCAGCTCTTCAGTATAGAAACTGTTCTGTTTTTAAAGGCATTGAGAACAGAGAACTTATCCCTGAAAAGCGAAGTTGAAAATCTTCAGAAAGTACAGACAGAGCAGGTACGTCCTATCAGAACTTTTTAAAAAAAGTCTTCAAATTGATTGTTGGTAATTGTAATTATAACAGTGTCCATCTATTAGTATCCTCCTAATTATAATAATATCCGACTGGAGAATTGCGGTGCCATGACCCTGTTGTCCTTTAAACAGGCTTTGAAGACCTGGCTTTTCCCCCAGATGTTAGGTTAGGAAGTGTGTCCATTGGTGGGAATATCAGTTTCTTTTGTTTTACATTGTTTTGATTGTTTTTATCTTGTACACTACCCAAAGGTGCAGTTGGGTAGCCTATAAATTTGATTTATTATAAAAAAAAATGTATGTGTGCAGGATTTCACTTCAAACTTTTGGATTGTAATGTTGCTACTCTAATTGATATCTGCTGTCATACCTTGCTTTATTATATACCGTAAGTTTTTTACACCAAAAAGCCAGATAGAGTAGTCTGCACTACATCTTTTATGTAGGACATACATGGCACAGATGTTACTGCAGTTCTAAAACATGATTGACATTTTGGGGAAGGTGCAGAACTCCAGTTACTAGTTAATGTGACCAGGCAGAGAATTTGTACTATTTGCTAAGCTATGCTTAAGGTTTACCCTTGGAAGGTAAATTCATCTCAAACACCAGTCCATACTAAATAAAATTGTTTGGTGATAGGATATAGGCCCATCATTCCTAATATGCTACTTCCAGGGACCCATGTTCCAAAAATCACAGAGGAGAAACTGGACTCCAGCAAGATGTCACTAGAGTGAAAGCGTGGCATACACAGTATGTTTCATAAAGAATCCAGTGAGCTCAAATGTGCTTCCCAACTGTGCTTAGGATTAAATTACCAATATATGCCAAATACTGTTGTATAGAACTGATTTGTTTTCTAATCTGTGGTCATGCTTTCTGTTAGTAAATTAATGAAAACTAGTATCATTTGCACCAGCTAATCGTTATTATCCTTAGAAGCATCCACCCAGAGTGATCTGAGTCCTTCTCACTAAATGGTGATATTTTTTCATCTTTTTCCTCCCACCAAAGGTATCGTTTGCATCCTTGGTAGAAGAACTACAAAGGGTGTAAGTAGCAGCATGACTCCTTGGCTTCAGTTTTAATACGCTCTTCATGTTTATATTTTGTTACTATTTAAAATTTAAGTGGGTAAACATTGACTTTAAAAAATTCAGAAACATAAAATATATAAAATGAAATGGTGAATGTTGCATTTGGGATATTTACCTCTCTCCAAGAAAGTACAGGTAGTCCCCAGGTTAAGAATGCCCGGTTTAAAGACAACCTACAGTTAACAACAGAGCCTATTGTAGCAAAATTTGAGTTAAATACACAATGATTTGAGTTAAA